TATACAGAGAGCTTAAGGGGAGGGATCCCCATTTTTTCAAAAAATGGGGATTAGGTGTGGGGCCCACTTCACATCTAATTTCAACGATCCGAACCGTCTATTTTGTTAGTCTTGATTCATAGATCATCTTTGCAAAAATTCAATTCAATCCGAAACCATTTGCCTATTTAATTATCAATATCAAATTTCATATTTTCTTATACAACAAAGTATTCGTTCATTTCCTTGAACCCAATTAGATGTCTTAAACATTTCCATTTTAGCTAATATTTTGCAAGGATGATCTATGAATCGAGACTAACAAAATAAACGGTTCGGATCGTTGAAATTAGATGTGAAGTGGGCCCCACACCTAATCCCCATTTTTTTCAAAAAATGGGGATCCCTCCCCTTAAGCTCTCTGTGTGTGTATATATATATATATATATATATTATAATTATACTAATATCTTATTTGGAGCTATTCATTTTCTTAATTATTATTTATAATTGTAAATAAAATCATAACAATTCGTTTTCCTAAACCCCCCAAGATTTTATTGGTGATGCAATTGTTTTTTTTTTTTTCTCAAAATTTTTTTTTATATTTTTTTTTATCAAAAGTGATGCAATTGTTAAGATAACAAATTATACTTGGAAGTCCTTAAAGGCAAGCAAGTTCAAGAAATGAATTATGATTAACAATTAGGCGCAAAGGAATAAGATGAAAAGAAAAAGAAAAAAAAAAACCATTCCAACACAAAAGGGTTCAATATGAAATAAGTAATTAGGGTTTTCTTTAGCAGAACCTCATGGTATTTCACCTTCAGAAAATTGATATCCCATCTTCTCCGATAAATGCAAAAAGGGTCTTCGTTAGCAGGAAGCAACTTCCCTGTCAAGTGTCGAGAAATAACTAGGACCCAAAGAAACCCTAGTTTTTCTAAGTGAAATAACACAATTAATTAGTAAAAAATATTCAGGGAATTAGAAAATCTATTTAGCACACAGCAAAGTCAGCTTACCTTCTAAAGTTTTCGATGTACTGACAATGATTACTAGGGCAATAATCCAAGAAACCTCTCTATATAAACAAGGTGATGGGGATTAATTAAAAGCTGAATATTTCTTTCAGGGTTCAGGATGAGAATCAGATTTTTTTTTCAGATTTTGAAGGACCCTTAATTTTCCTTCTTGTTTCTTGTGTTGTTAAATGCGCGCTATCGAACCTCTTGCAGATTTTCTCTCATCGTAAAAGAAAATTTGTAAGCATTTAAGTATGTAACCAGCCGTAAACATTCTATAAACTGAGAGTGATTGACAAGTAAGGATATATATCACACTTACATGCAGATGGACATTGATCACTCGGAGCTGAACCAAGTTGAGGGCGGTGAGAGAATCCGAGAACAGCCAGGGAAAGCTTCTAGGTTCTAAATGCTGTCATCCTCTAAGTTGAACACACGACTATGCATGAGCACGTACGCCTATGGTCGATGAATAAAATGCAATTCCCTCCCACTCCAGCAAAGTCTCGGGCGGAGATGGAGAAACACCCATCGTTTCTCAAGATAAACACTTGCTCTCCCAAGTTTTTCACAACCAATATTCCCGATTCTTGATCCAACTTATAAACTTGAAAATCAATTGCCTCAGCCCCAAATGGAACACAGGAAGGATTAGGAGGAGCTGGAAAATAATTACTAGCTTGCACTAAAAATGTTATTCCGAACATGGTACCCTAAGATCCTATCCATATCCAACCTTTCCTTCTCGAGTTACCGATCAACCACGTAAAGGTCACCACAAGACTCAACCAAATGCTTCAGCCCACCAAACCCACATAATGGAGGCGAAAATTGAATCACCTTCAACCACGGACGGAGCTACATAAGGCCCGGGGGCATCTGCCCCCACTCAGATTTTTGGGTGAGGAAAAAAATGTCATGACAATTAAAACAACAATTAAAAATTTGATTTTGGTTCCGAATATTCCACGTTCCCTAACCTAAACCAAACTCAATTGAATTGGCCGGTTTCATAAATACATTGGATTCAACTGATGAAGTATCATAATTTGATATAAGAATTTTACTCCGCAAAGTATTTTATATGAATTTACTTCATCCATTCGTTTGGGGCATTACAATGATAATTTAGCTTTCTAATTTAGAGATTTTTCATTTTACCTAGTCCTCAACAACCTATGACTCATTATTTTACTCGGTTGTTTTAGATGCCCCCAAATCAAAAAAATAATTTATAGCTCCGTCCATGCCTTCAACTTAGAATTTAACCTTAAAATTGTTCCCCATCTATCAACAACATAGGATTGACCTTATAAACAATGATATCATCCTAGCTAGGAACAGTTTTGTTCATCCACATGGGTCCATTTCTCATCCCCAAATCTCACTTAACCCCACCTTGCTTCACTATGTACCATGAAAACAACACAATCATCCAAATGGGTTCGATCCATGACTACCACTTTGTTCACAAGAGCAAAAGTAAGACTATTTTCCTAATACTAAAACTATATGATTTGTGCAATTCAACAATCCTAATCCAATAAATTGAAGTTCTCTTAGGGACAGAGGAGAACCTGAGTAGCATATTAGTTATGGGATGCAGTAATCACATATGACCTGAATTAGAATCGTCAAACTTCATCCCAAGCCATGGTTTTGACGAATTGGGTTCATCGTCGAGGATTGACTCCACGCCAACCTTGGCATAACGGGAAAAGAATCTGTAGAGAAGAGGAGGAAAAATGGTTTGCTGAAAAGGTGAGATAGAGGAACGCCATAACTTGCAGCCGCTGTGAAATCGGAGAAAGTCGATGTGGTTGTCAAGGCATTTTCCTATCCTTGGCCATGGCTTCTTTGGAAGACGGGACCGTTACTCCACCTTCTTTGTGTTCTTCTCCATTCCACCTTCATATGTATTGTATAATTCGATAATTTTGATAACAATTAAGATTTTTATCATAAACCATCATTTTATTTGATACACATAAATGACTAAACAATTTCATGTTTGACTGGATTTTAGAAGAGGTGATTGTTGGATTGAGAAAATAAACCATCCTAATTATATTATGTATATAGTCAAAACTCGTTAATTACAATTAAGTGGACTAGGAGCACGCAATGAAGTGAATGACCACTACAAGTCATCTTTTCCCAATTCAAGAGATAGTGGGAAGGTAGAAATGCTTATAGAATTTAGATGCCCTTAACTATTTAAATTACCAGCCTCTTTTATGTTTAGTGTAGCTATTCTGATTGTTTTCTCTTATTTCCAACTATCTATTATTCCAAACATACCGCCAATGTATCGGTTACTACTAAAGGTGCAATTTGGGCAGGTTGGAAGGTCAGCCCAATCTTCACAATTTAGGTTTGAGTTAGGTTCAAGTGCATGCGTGTTTATTCGAGCTCGGTTTTTAATTGAGTTGTGGCTTGTTTAGGTTAGGCTTGGGTAATTGATCGTGTTCAACTTATAACAACTTATTTTGCAAGACTTTTCTAAAGTTGAACTAAACAACGGCAATACTAGTTAAAAATTAATTCCACAAATTAGCATTCACTCAAAAATTAAACTAAATAGCATGGGGACCATTTCATTTTCAACCGTGCAAAGTTGAAACTAAATTACAAAACAATATCAAAGCTTTATTTAAAAGAATTATAAAAATAACATTGCCATTCATTATACAAATGAAAAACTAACAACAAACTCAAATACTGTTATCCCAAAATTTATGCATATCTTATATAGTATTGAGTGGGACTGGTAATATATGCACAAGCAAATATGGGCAAAAAACGAAATGAGTTTGGGTCATGAGCGGGAAAGACATCAACCCATGTAGAGGTCTAGTTAGGTAGGTTAAGCTGGACTTTTACTTAATTTTAACTCACCCAATTGAGTTTGGGGCTATGTGCCCAAAGAAAATAGAAACAAATAAGCAAATAATGAAACACAAAGCTTTGCTTGCTTAATTTGCCATGATATCAATGTTTGCCGGCCGAAGTTCCAAATTTGGTAACTTTTCTTTATGTAACTCTCGATTAATTGATTCCTTATTTATAATCCAGAAAGGACTGAAAAATGAACAACCAGTTGGATGTTATATTGTCATTGTTGTCCCAGCCTCTATATTAACCAAGAACTTGATTTTTACGGCGGATTTGCCTAAAATAATACTCACACATGTGTATTTATGCCGTGTGTGTGATCATACATATAATTCACCAGCATATGGACAATCTAAAAAGTTAAAACCCTAATGATGTCAGCTCTCTTTAATTTTCTCTAACCACGAAAAATAAATTATAATATGTAAATTATAAAATGTGAGTAAATTAGTGAAGTTCAACTGAGCTTAATTGACTGAAACTACATCAGTAAAGCTCGACACTTATATTTCTTTTTTACTTTTTTATTGCTGTCAAATTTCTTTAATGTCGACTGTTTTCGCTGTATATACTGTCTTCTTTAATTTGTAATTATTTCTTAGTTGAAGCTCTATCATTATCATGCAAATGCACGTCTTGTTTATGTACATTAATTTCCTAAGAATTAACTATAGTTTTTGCACTAATTATAACGAACAGGAAAAAAGATATGAAAAGATTGTTGGTCCTTCAAATGGTTGTGTTTGTATTTCTTCGTTTTATAGGTTCTACGTACTCGTAGTTCAGACGGACGATCATGCGCATATTTGACCACTCACATTATAATATGTGAATTAATAACACCATGTAATTGTATGATACTTGTTAAAAAAAATTCTTATAGCCTTACTTTTGTTTTGTAAAGAGGTTGTTCCATGACTTGAACACATGACATTTCGATCACAAAAGAACAACCTTTTCATTGCTAAATCATGTAGCAAAATAAAATAATTTGAACGCCAATTGCGCACACCCTTTTATAATCAATATGTTATTGTGCAAATTTCAACTTATATATATTGGGAAATTTAATAACTACTTGACAACTATACTTCCACAATCTTCTTTATATCTTTATTTTTAATTTTACACTAGTAACATGAAAATGTTGGTCAAAAGGTCGAACAACCAAACAGAAAGACACGTGCATGGTTATATATGAATCAAACATTAAGAAATCTATCTTCTTAATTATATCGAGGTACAGATCTAAATCATGCAAGTGAGGCCAATTGACCAAAAGTCATGGGTGCCACGAATCCACCACCAGCATGAAGAGTTTGAGCTGCAAGATGAGACGCAGCTTGTGTTGGATGGTATTGATCCCAGAACAAGTAGACATCGCGATCTTTACACAAATCCGATTCTGGTGTGCATGGCTCTGCATTAAAATTTCCTTTTCCACAACAAGCTTTTGTCGCCTCCTCAAACCCTACAAAATGTTAGGATGTCTATTATATAACATACAAAATTCTTCGTAAACAAGAAACAAATGTACATATCAAAGCCCTTTTGGATGTGCTTCTGTAGAAAGTAGTTTGCGCATAAGTGCTTTTATTAGTAGCGTGCCAAAATCTTTATAATAGTAATTAGTAAATTAGAAAGAAAAAAAAAACCTCCATATATAACTATAAGCTTTTTACAAAAATATTGTAAGAGTTCAATTGGGAACAAAAAAAAAAAAAAACTTCATCTATCAACTTAATTGTCAATGCTTTAATTGATTCTAAGATTTAAACTTCCTTTAGTGCCTTTCTCCTGTTAGAGCATGTCAAATAAGTCAACTAGGAGCTAAACGATATCAAAGTTTTCTCCAAGAGAGATGCCATAATTGACATAATGGCTGAGTCCTTTAACTTCTTGTTTTCTAGTAGTTTTTTGTTACAACAAACAAAGATAAAGCCAGTTAGATTTTTTTTTCCCTAATGAGTTGGTTTAAAAAGTTTTCTCTTAACCGTAGTTATTAAGGGCTTACATTAGAAAAATCATTTTTATAAAATCTATGCCAACTCACAAAAAACATATTTTATAACATACATTATATATATAATATATATAGACACCCACGTACGTTACATTCTATACTATTTTTGTGATACGCTACCAAAAGACTGAAAGAATAATTTAAGATGTTTAAGTAATTACCAAATTGTTTAGGGTCTTTTATGATGAGTGTGGTCATTGTATATGCATCTGCAAGTGCATATTTCATCTCTTGGCATTCTGCGCTTAACTTCAGCAAGACTCCTTGAAGTGCCTTATAAAACAATATGGCATATTGATTCACGGGCTCAGAACAGCTACCATCTTGAGTAGAATTAAGCACCAATGGGACGCAACCAACTGGGGGAACACTAATAATCCCAAATCTTTTGGCTCCAAGGTCAATTAGGTTCTGCAATTGGAAACATTAATTTAAGAAAAAGACTCTTAATTAATTATGGACAGTTTACAACTATTTCATTTTCAATTTTCATTTTTTTCAGTTTTCAATTTTCATTTTTTGCAGTTTTCAAAAAGTTAAAAACTGACAAAAACGGAAAGCTACTTTTGTGAGTTTTCAAAATTTGACTATTGTTTAAAACTGAAAATATTTACTAAACAAGTTTTTAGTCAAAACTGAAATGATTATCAAACGGGTTATTAAGAATTAATGGTTAATTTACAATGTAAAGAAATAAAAAGAAAAAACAGGTAATTAACTAATGGTACCCTTAATCGACTTTCATAAGTGGACATGAGAGTGGCGATATTCAGTTTTGCAGAAGTAGATTGGTTAGTAAGAAAATGTTCGAGGATATCATTGCTTCCGACGCTGATGAGGAAGAAAGACTTTGATATATTAGCCAATCCACCCTCACCCTGTAATTTTGATATAATGTCATGTACTCTTGCAAACTGCTGGACCTGATCTCCAAGGGCGACGACATTTCCCTACGTGCATAATGAAACGTAGTTAACACAAATTTTTTCTCCTTCTTACATTTCTCATAGTGTCTATATATACACGTGAGAGCAAAAATACTGGATACATATATTTGTGTCGTATACAATAAAATTATTTAGACGTATAATATTGACACACTATTGATACATTTTTAATAAAAGCAAGTCTTACATTTATGAAAATGTATGTCTACAAGAATATGTCAATAAATGTGTGAACTTGTATGTTTTTTTTTTGTTCTGATTGTTTAATTACCTGAGAGAGCATAAGAGAGATTAAGTGTGAGAATTAAGCTTACCCACTTTCGTTTTCCAGTTTCATCCAGAATTCCTGAACCTCCGGAAGCGAAATTGACTCCTTTACTTAGCAAAATGATCTTCCCGTAAATTCCCTCCTTCTTGTCCAAAAGAGAGAGAAAAGGTGGCGGACTCAGCTCGAAACCCAGAAACTTGGCTAATTAATAACATATTAAAGAAATAAAAATTAATAACTATGATGATTATAAAACTAACAAAATTAACGAGAAATTTGAGTATTGAAAATATTGTCACATATTGTTATCATTTCACACAGTATAATATAGGTGAACAACGCAATTACTATGTCACTCCTATTATATATCATAAAAAATAAGCATGTCATAATTTGAGTAAAATGGTAACGTAACACAAGAGTACACATCACACACCAAAAAATTATATCATATATAAATAATAGTGGGGTCAGTGGCCGGGCTAATACCAAGATAATCAACAATATTCAAGCCGTTGCTAAATCTTCCCGTCGCTGTAGAGTGAGGAAAATCAATCCCATAAAAAGGGTGGTCGGCCCTTGCTTCAGCTTTAGGCAAGTACTGGTTAGTTCCAACATCTACTGTGGAGTCACCAAACACGTAAATGGCAGGCAAAGTTGGTTGAGAACATTCAAGCAAACCAATGCAACCCAGAAATACAACGAGCCAAAGAGAAAGTACTGATATCAGACTCTGAGCCATGGAGACTAGCTAGTTCTCTATCTTATGAGCTATGTGTGCTATAATTTGTAAGTTGTCTATACTATTATCAGAGGCCAAATATAACACTATATATAGAGAGCTTTGGTGAAGAACTCTACGTCGATTGTTGCAAATTTACGAGACAAGTTGAAAACGAAAGCCAGAAGATGCCATCCAGCATGTAAAGTCAAACAGTATTTTTATTGGCCAAACCTAGAAGCCGCATATGTATGATGTATACAAGGAAGTTAATTAAACTAGTTCAACTAAACAAGGTTTATTTTAATTTTTGGAGGCGGGATTTTCTAATTAGTGATATAACCCTATGATGACTCATGACTGCAACAGCTTAATTAGCATATTCCATCGATCAGCATTGTATTAATCATTGCTTATTCCCTTGTTAAAAGTGAATTTAATTTAATTTTCTCTTCTTTTAGTTTAGTCGTGCCTAATGCGCTGATTTAATCGATATTTTTCGATTTATGCCATCTTCATGGTATACGTAGTTGCATTTGTTTTACTTTTGAGAATTCTAGGCCCTTCAGTTTGTGTAACTGTGACACAAATACAAACACACACACACACAAGCAGCTTCTTAGCACGATTTTGTTTTCATGTAGCAAAAATAGATAGGTATAGAACCATCGTGGTAATTATGTATTCTTCATATAAGACATCTTATACTTATCACAGTTTTCCCATTTTTTTCATAATATGGAGGTCCCTTGCGATAAATACAATGAAACAGATTCCTACCAAGAAACGGGCTAATGATATATACATATTTATGTGTGTGTGTGTGTGTGTGTGTGTGTGTGAATGCATGTATATCAACAGCTGCTATGTGAAAACGACTATGAATCTTTAACGTTTGTGTAAATTTTTTGGGCGTGGGAAATTGTTAGTTAGAATCAATGGAATCAGAGGGATACTAAAGGATATCCTAGTATAAAACTGGACTCCAATTAGCCACTAAAAAGTATAAAATTATGAATTATGATTGCTTTATGTAATCTATCAAATATTTAACAAAAAAATTAAAAAGAATGATTAAGTACCTAATTAAAACCCCTCAGTCTTTTAGTGTCATTCTAAATTAGTCTGAACATTTTTAAACATTCCCAACAAATGCCAAAACTATTAAAATTGTCACATCCATTAAGCTCTAATAAATTTCTGTTAAATTAACTAGAGTTTACTTTGTCTCCAACATTAATAGAAGGTCATGGAAGCATGACTTCCACCAAGTAATGGTCACCATCACCCCCTTTAGGCCATCACCTTCAAACCTAAAGCGTGCACAACCACAAACTCCACTACAACTCAAGCTGCCAACTAAGAAGGTCATGTAGGTTGGTGAAATGGTATGGACTGCCATGATATGGCCACCACCATTTTCACCGCCCACAAAGAAGAATTGGAAGTTTTACTAGCGGAAAGTCGGTGAATGAGGAAATCACATGAACAGAAACATACTCCTTGAAACCCTATCTGAATTCTTAACCCTCTTCTTTGTTAGAAGATTTCTCGATCTTCATTTTTATTTTCCATTTTATTCGTTAATTTGTTTAATTATTTTTATTTTTTTCATCTTCATGTCTTTTTTGGAGTTATGTTCATTATCATTTTAATGTCCAAGTAAGCAAATAAGTGGGACATAAAGCCTAACTCTAACTATGATAGCAGTCATAACAAACAAAACCTCCAATAACCAATATAAGATATAACAAGGCCAACAAAAAATAACCCATAAAAAAACGGTAGTATGGAAGGCCACATAATGACGATGATAATAATGGCAATATAAAATTAGGAGGAGAATCTCACCAAATAAGACCATTAAAAGAGGAACCATGATTTGCAAGGGCATTAAAAACTTGATTACCATCTCTGTAAATGTGAGAAGACTAGAAATGCATTTGGAAAATTCTATACAAGCAGTTCCTTTACTCCACTCTGAATTGCCAAGGCACCAATTGAGGAGAGTGCAAGAAGTCAAGAACCAAAGCAGGATCAACTTTTCAACCAAATAAAATTTTAATCCCAAACTGAAGCTACTAATAGCTTTAATTACTGTTATTCCTCCGCTACAACAAGAGCTATGAATCTCCAGATTAGAACAAAAGGTTCCAAAGAACTTACCTTTGAATTCCCGAAACAGACCATCATACCAGCACAACTGAAACTACTCTTCCAAGCTCTATCACTATTTTACTTAACCCAACCATGATTGGGGGAAACGCACCTCTAAAATTATGGGAGCTCGACGAGGCTACATGTAGCACCAAACCTTTTCATCTCATATAAATGAACATCATTATTCTCATAACCAAACCCTAATTTCTATTTGAATGATGGATCTGGCCAACAATAAGTTTAAAAGCATAAGCAACATTAGTTCTAAGTCCTTCATGCTGAGATTGGTTTCTCAAGTACCCTAATCTATTTGAACTACAATCTACATTTTCTGATGTTTACATGGGGCCGAAGGCCGAACAAATAATTAGAAAACGACTAGCAAAGCCCACAGAGTCAACAGAACAACACCACATGTGCAGCCCAATCAAAACCTTTGCCGACAACGGAGCGTCTTGTAAGAATGTTAATGATAAAGTCTCAGGCGATGGATCAAATTTTGTAAGGACTTAAAAAGAGTTGGATCACTCCTTATTTGGCTTTAATATGAAAACTCAATTTCCTCCTGATTGGTTAAGGAGGCTAGTTGAGGGGTGTAGTCCGTTAGATTAAATAGCTAAGATATAAAATAACTTGTACGGTACAAGTTATACATGCAACCATGCGAACGATGAGAAACGATATCATGATGATAACATTGATCAACCAAAGATCAACAACTAGCACAGTGATTCTGGAGCTGCCTACCTTCTGGTTCACTTTCTTGACACCAGAGAAGAGAGGGAAGATGTTATAACTTATAAGTATTCTAAAAATGCAAGCTGACATTTTAAAATGTTGGTAACACCATCCTTTTTCTTACCAAAAAACGTACAACACCCTTTTATTATGGTGAGATGTTTGTTTTTGTTTTGTGGGGCAGATTGGCAATCCAAAAACCAATAGAGTTCTCTAGCTACACATTTTTAGAATTAATGTTTCTTAAAGAATACATATATGGTTAATTTGATGGCATGTTATGAGAACAAAGATTGCGAATAATATTTGGCTGCTAATGATGAGTAATAGGTCCTATTCAAAACTGTTCGTTGGCGATTTATAGAACTTTGTATTTTTTTTATTAAAATCGTTCATATTATAAGTCACTCTATAAATATCGTCTTTACAAAAAACCAATTAAAACTAAGGTAGTTTAGTCGTTGAACTATATAAAAATAGATTAACAAAATTGGTAAAAGCATTACGAATTGTCTATGTATTTGCTACAGTAAATTGACTAAACTACCTTAGTTTTAATTTATTGTTTGCATGGATTATCTTTATAGAGTGATTCATAATATGAATAGTTCTAATGGTAAACACAAAACTTTGAAATTTGAATACGATTTTTTTTTTTAACAAACGATATTATATACACTATTCGTACTCATCTTTGAGTAGTCTTAAGAGGTTGCAACTTGCAATTGAATGATTGGTGCTCCCTACAACTGTTTGTTTAGTTAGGTGGGGGATTGAAATTAGGTTTTATGTTATTGTATCCTTATATATAAAACCAACAACCCGTTTTGGAATCACAAGCTTCACCAAAAAATTTTGGACAAAAATATCCACAAAACAAAAAATTTCAAAAGCAACTCAAAATAATGCACCAAATCATGCAAGGGTATTTTCATCATTTTAACTGTGTTTTTCTAATAATTAATTCTTTTTGTACAATTTTTTTAATTACTACCTCACAATAGGCTAGTAATAATGTGATTCGGTAGTTTTTCATTAAATATTATTTTCTCTATTTTTAAACATGTTCAAAATATCTTAAGAGGTGTGTAATGCCGGTTATAAAAAATGTCAATCGCACGCGCATAATAATATGATTAAACTAGTTGTCAAATGATTGTTTTTTATTTTATTTTTATAAATGATATTATCTACACTAAGGGGAGAGGGTGGGCTTAGCCTCACAATAGGCTAGCAATAATGTGATTTAATAAGTTGTTATTAAATATTATTTTCTATATTCTTAATGTAAATTCAATAGAATATGGATGAAAATTAAAAAACCGATTTTATTATGTGAATTCAGCTATTTTGATTGGTTTGTGAGGAGCTTTTTCTAGCATGATTTAAGATTATTTATTTACTTCAAATATTTAACTTCTTTTTGTCAATTTACGTATATAAATATATTTAAAACATGTAAATCGTACGTAATACACCTTGATTTAAAAAATATCTTCTTCATATGCGTGCATAAAGGCTATTTGTATGTTAAGGGGATTAGTAGGGCCTGACATATCTAACTTGTTTCGGTCGAACACGGACACCACCAAACGTTCTGTGGGCGTTTTCCAAAAAAAAAAAAAAAAGGTTCTGCGGGCTCCTCTAATGACACACCTCTTTATTTGGGAGTTTTTAAATTTCATGTTCATTTTTACACGCTTAAACACAAAACCATGAGCTTAACACAATCATATAATTAAAACTTCACTTAAAGTTTCATTTGGATTTCTTTCAATTAAATATTACAACCATAATGTTGTTTAGTATTACAGTCTGAGAGTACATCTCTTCATTTTGGTTCGATTCTCGTCAAAAATAATTTTGAACCATATTATTGTTAATTTATTATGAGGCTAAACCTATCCCTTATATCTTTAGTGTAGATAATATCATTTCTTAAATAAAAAAAAATATTACAACCATAATGCTTCACATTCTCAAGTGTGAACACTTATTTTTGGTAAAAGAGTGTAAATCCTAAGGCAATGTCATTGCCATGTGTAGTCCAAAAGTTTGATTCATGATATCCAATTTTATGAGCATGTCAATTGAATTTGAATACAAAAGAAATTTACTTGGGGGTAAACTAAATTGAATTTTCCGTAGGTAGTGTTTATGTTACCCAAA